GTCACCAGCTTCATTTCGAAAGAAGTACGGACCGATGGTTCCACCAGACCCAAAACCACACCGAACTGTCAATTTAGGTAAATATTTTTTGTGGATTTTCAGATGGAAGTGAGCCTCATTGATGACGATAATTTTCTTTAAAAAATCGTTATCGTTTTCAAGTTGTTCCAAGGCAAAATCAGCAAATTCACTACGTTTGCGGTAGTCCAGTGTCTTCAGTTCGTGAGTAAGAACAATTTTTTATGGATGCAACCTAATCCTTTCTCAAAATTTGCCAGGTTGTGGCTTGAAAAAGTCCCAATTCTTGAGAACGTCATGTAATCGACAAATTGCAGTCTTCAGCAACATTTGCCTGAATGGCAGGGTTATTTTCATTACATCGAGTGGTTTTTTGTCTTATGTACGCACGAAATTTTCAACAATTCGACGAATAGCGACATGTGGACGATTATTACGACAATAAAAAGGCAAAAGTGCACGAAAAAATGGAATGGGAGAACGATTATTTTGATGATAAAATTGAATAATTTGTAAATATTGTTCTTGCGTATATCTTTCATTTTGGAGTTCAGTGTCTTATTTTTAAGAGCATTGAATTTCCTTTAAAAAGGACTGTCCGATTTTTTTTATTTATAATTTTGTGTATTTCAATATTGTGATTCTGCTTTTCTAAGAGTCTTTCTTAACTGTACTTGTTTATGAAAGCAGTAACAAAACCGTGTTATGTACGTCACTCAATCAAACAAATTTCTCAATAGGAAGGCTTGTATGTTGAATTCAATATCCATAATAGTATAAAACGTCCAAATCNGTCTGTGGGGATTATTTGGGTGATAATTATTTTGCCCTGAAAAGTTTTTCTTTGAGCGTATCGTCTCGAACTATTTTGTGAATAATAATTATTATTATTACGGGGATGTTTTCCTGAATTACTTTGGAAGCGATCAATATTTTGCTCACTACCATTTTGTCTCCTATAATTGTTTGTTATTTGATTATTCTGGTTTCTGTTATTATTATACTTTCTAGTATATTGAGAAAATGAATCCGAATTTCTATTTTTTGTGAAAAACATAGGGTTTAAGTTTCCATCGTCCAGCCCATGCCGTTATAGGACAGACAGTCTAGAAACTATTTCTTCCTGTCCTACATAGTCCCTTCGTACTCTGTCAATAGCCTCAATGAAGGATGGCAATTCGTTTACATTTCCTTCGAAAGGAGCTAGATATTTTAAGTCCCTTTCGACTCTTTGCCTAAACGTTATATTTTGTTGTTGGGCGTTTTGTTGCAGCGATTGGGTAATGGCGACTAAACAATCTTGTATATTTTGAGCCATCTTCACAGGTTTTTATGTATAGATAGAATAGAATACAATAAATAAATGTACAATATCTTGTATATTAAACAATTCGTATTTTACCTCTCGTAAGAGTGTGCTTCAAATTATTTTAATAATATTGTATAATATAAATTAATATAAGCTTATAAAGGTATGCTTCCTATCTATAACATTCACTTGCCGCTTTTACTATTGTTAATGCTCTCCACGTACAACTGCTGTTGTTATTTTTTTTTAAACCCTTACTGCTACTGTTGCTTGCTGCTACTGCTGCTATTGTTATTGTTGTTGCCCTTACTGTTACTGTTGCTTGCTGCTACTGCTGTTTATTATAAAACCCTCTCTTTTAGTTATTTCGACTAGCGTACGATTTTTAGTAGGAAAGTCTCAGGAATCACACTGGGTTGTTGGTTTTTTTTTGTTATATATATACACATGTATATATCACTTTTTAAACGATTGTTTTCAGTTCTTTAATTTTTCCAAAAATAAATTGACTTTTTGAAAAAGTTCTACTCTCTAAAGTTGTAAAGTTCTTCTAAAGTTGTATTTCTTGCACCTTCGCTATATTACAATTCGCTGAATTTGCGTTTACTGTTAAGTTGTTGAATTGCTTGCTGCTGCATTGGAGAATTTGTGTTTAGCTTTCAATGCCGATATTTAAAATAGATATTAAATTAAAACATTTTTTTTTTTGTAGTTTGACATCACAGCACTTGATTATGCTTTTCATTTATTATTTTTATTTATTTATTTCCCATCTGGGTCGCGGAACGTCGACTGTGCCAATTATATATTTAGTAATAACCATTCAACAACTATAAAAACACAACTCGTTTCTTTTAGCTCTCAAATCAGACTGGCTTCACACCAGATCGGCAACTCGAGCTTGCTGCTATGTCCGGCTGTACCGCACATTCCAGCAAGCTCAAAATATGCTGAGTCTGCTGTTTGAGTCACGTATTGGCGGATCATGCGATGTGGTGCATAATTTTGTTTATTATTTTTTTTTTTTTTGGGTTTTTTTTTTTTTTTGGACACCCAGGTGGGGCAGGTGTTATATTGATCGCACAGCATTTTCTTTTAAGTAAAGGCAGAACTTCATTTTAAAGTAAGTCTTTAGTAAAGGCCTAGACATAGCGTTCATGGGTTCCGTTAGATCTACATATACGTCGAGAGGAAGTTAGAATCAGAGCAACTCATATCACTGAAATTACCCCAAGTAATACTACATACTCAAAATCGCTCAGAATGCAAAAATACCATGATGAATATATCATCATTCAAATGGCCTTCACGAGTTTCAGGAACGAATTCGATGAACCCAATTTTCGAGTATTTTTTCCACTTAATCAAGTCGTATGTTATGAATAGCACGTTCAATATTGACTTCTAAAGCTTAAAGAGGGTCTGGTTTATTGCTAAAGACCAATTTACTTCAAATAAACCTACAAAAAGTAGTCTAATTGTGTTAAATCACACCTTCTTGGAGGCCATTCAATGTCACAATTTCTTGAAATGATCGAATCTTCAAACTTTTATCGCAATAATTCGGTTGTTGCACTGCTGTGTGGCCGTGTTGGAACCAGATGTTGTCAAGATCAACTTCTTCCAATTGTGGCCAAAAAATTTGGTTATCATCGCTCAAACTGTCAATTTACGTGATTGTAATGGTTGTGCTTAAATAATTTGTGGATTTTTTTCGCGCCTGAATCGATAGTTTTGTTTATTTACCGCACCACTCAGATGGAAGTGAGCCTCATCGAAAACGATAATTTTCTTAAAAAAATGGTTATCGTTTTCAAGTTTTTGCAAGGCAAAATCAGCAAATTCACGACGTTTACGCTGGTCCAGTGGCTTCAGTTCTTGAGTAAGAACAATTTTTTATGGATGCAAGCCCAAATCCTTTCTCAAAATCTGCCAGGTTGTGGTTTTAGAAAGTCCCAATTCTAGAGAGCGTCTTGCAATTGACAAATTGCGGTCTTCAGCAACATTTGCCTGAATGTTCATTACTTCGAGTGGTTCTTTGTCTTATGTACGCTCGAAATTTTCAACAATTCAATATATAATCGAATATTTTCTGAACTTTAACTGTAATTTGGAGCAATGTTATTAGAAAATTAGTTTATGAGTAAAATCCGCATATACGTGTACATACTATATTTATAAAATTTAAGCCTTATGCAAATATTTCCTATTAGTAGTATGTATGATGTATGTTGATTCTTTGTCACATGAAAACTCTGTTAATATTGTGTAATTATTGTGAGCACGAATTTTAAAGCGACAAACAACCTCGAATCAACAGTAACGTACCTTCACATAACCTCAACTCACAGCGTCCCCAGTAGCCTTTTCACTCACTCATTTTAATATTTATTACACTTCGAAATATTTCTATGAAATATCAAATTAAGATTTAAAATTAACAACTCATCTTAAAACTGAATTTATTACAAAATCAGCACAACATTTGATTGAAACCATTTGATGCTTTAATCACTAAGGCATCAACATTTGACATAGCTCTTCTTTCTCCTTGCATCACCAGTGGCGTTTCGATGCGTCATACAACCTAACCAATGCGCGTAAACTTAACCCAACCTTTCTCGAACTCCCGTTAAAAGTTTCATTTCAAAATAAGTAAGACCTGCTGGATGTTCAAAAAGATTTTCGATTCTGAGACTGGATTCACAGATGAATAAAATTTAATATTAAATACATGATGGATGAGGTCTATATTTAAACACGGTGGAGTTCCGTCATGTTCTGGGGATGTTTTGTTGCAGCTGGGGTGGGAAAACTTGTCCTCATCACCGAAATTATGGATTCTAAGAAATACATTGTTATTTTAAGATCAAATTTAAAATCCCACTAAATACTAACTTTAATTTATGCCATTGGTTTATTAGGTTTCTTTTGCCATATTGTTTACTTTTATATAAAAATCAATAAATTCGGTATACTGCACTAATTTCTTTAGTTGAACAAGTCCGCCAATTTCTTCCAAAACCAAACAAATTAGTTATTAAAATTATGTTGAGACGGTAAGTTAGCTCTGTTCAGCACACAAGTAGTCTATTTAACTACAACTTGTTGAAGGTAGCTGAGAATTACACAGCAACAAGATATTAATAGACAAGTGGAATGAAAGTTTTAGTGGTGATTCGGAATATCTTGCACTGCTGCGCTATGAATGAATCAATGTGCCTGATAAATTTGCTGGTAGGTATGTAAGTGTGTACATGATGTTTCACTCAAGCCATCAACACTTGTCTCGTAGCTCACTCTCTCTTTCTTTGCTCACCAGTGAATACACTAACTGCTATGCGTTAAACGTTTAACGCAACCTTTTCCGAAGTTCCCTTAGAAGTTTCACTTCAAAAACTGGACTCGATGGAAACAAAATTATTATATAGTGTTAATAAGGGTACACTAACATAAACAAAAATCATCACATAGCTCGTGTGACAAAAACAGTGTTTACCAGTCTTATGGTTTCAAAAGCTTAAAACTTATACAAATATAAAATTAATCACTTATTGTTTACGATGCAGGCACCATATTATAACATAAATTGTAAATAGTACATTGTATTAATATATTGTATATAAGGAACTCTAAAATAAATCCTAATTTAAAATACATAATTTTTTTCTAGGTAGATGCGAACCACTCCGCCAAAACTTCAGTCGTAGATACTAAGTCAATTAAAGACAATGAGTTTACAGGACAGGTGTTGTATACCGCTGAAGATTTAAACCTCTTAATTCTGGATATGCACAGCGCTAGACACAATAAGGATATCTAAAAACATCGGAAAGCTAATCAAAATAAATAAAGTTTTTTGTAGATGTGACAGCTTAATAAAATTGATTGGTGTTTCTCTTGGAATAGAGTTGGTTATTTTGTTGTTGTTATTACCAAACGAGTAAATCAATGACCTTGATATATAAGGGTGATTTTAACTAAAATTGTATATACATATGTATATTATCTAATAAATAAATGATATGCTCGGTAAGTAACTTATTTGAACATATTTTTGTCCATAAGTATCATTAAATGAAGCTTTAAGTAACTTAGAGCTTTTAATTTTTTATATTTATTTGGCATCTGTCTAAAAAGGGGCTTCTTACTCACAACCTTATACTCAACAGCAACGCCACAAGGCAAACGTGGTAAAAACAGAACGGTTGATGGCAACTTTAACTACTAAAATTTAAAATATATTGAAAGTTGACTCTGGCAATCACAATGCAGTATCGGACTGAAGATAAGCTTTATAGATACTGTATCCTGCGGATAATTGCACTTTAAAAATTGCACAATTCAAATCACATAAATTGTTCAATTAAATGCCAATCAATTAACCGATACCGTTTAATTCAGGAATCTCGCTTAATTGTACAAAACAATCAATTAAAATACATTCATATATGTACTTCAAGTGTTTATTTAGTTTTTATACTCTCGCAACCTGTTGCTACAGAGTATAATAGTTTTCTTCACCTAACGGTTGTTTGTATCACGTAAAACTAATCGAGTTAGAGATAGGGTTATATATATATAAATGATCAGGATAAAGAGACGAGTTGAAATGCGGGACAGACAGTCCGTGCAAGCTCTAACTTGAGTAAAATTGAGATATCTTTATGATACTTGGTAGGCATGTTTCTGTGAGAAGGTTGGTATTGCAGATGGGCGTAATCGGACCACTGCCACGCCCACAAAACGCCAATATTCAAAAACAAATAAATTGCCATAACTAAGCTCCACAACAAGATACAAGACTCTTATTTGGTATACAGGATCACAATAGGGAGGGGCATCTGCAGTTAAAAATTTTTTTTAAAGTGGGCGTGGTCCCGCCTCTAATAGGTGTAATGTGCATATCTCCTAAACCGCTAATGTTATAATAACAAAATTCACTGGAAGCAAATGTTTTTGAACCTCTACGGACAGTGTGAAGATAAGTGAAATCGGGTGAGAAACCCGCCCACTCCCCATATAACGAGACTGTTAAAAACTACTAAATGCGCGATAAATCAAGCACTAAAGACGCCAGAGACATTAAATTTTTATCTCTGGGTTGGTATGAGATGACTTTATAGGAACCACGTTCAAAATTAGTCAGTGGGCGTTGCACCTCCCACTTTTAGTAGAAAGCGTATATCTTAGGATCTGCTTAACCGATTTCAACCAAATTGGGAGTATAACGTTCTTTTTATATTTCTATGTTATAGTGCGAACTATATACTTCCAACGGAAAAAATATAAGGAACAAATGCAAGACAATGCACTTGCGAGTGTTAAATTTTATTTACAGATCATTGTTATAAAAAATAATATAAACTTAAGTTACAAAAAAAAATCAAATTATTGCATATTCTAGTACATATGCAGCACTTGCATTCACACTTTTAAAGATCGTTGCTTACATTTTTAGAATGTTAATTTAGGAAATCTTTTTACATTTTTTTATTATGCTTCTAAACATTAGACCCAGAGATAATGTTAGCACCCTCCAAAATATATTCATGAATAAACATATTTATATTTTTATTTGCTTTGTAGAGATGTCAACAGCTGCTTATTACAAACGCTGCGAAATACAGACATATGTATCTGAGGCAACGTCGAATTATATTTTTAACAAAAGTTTTTAGTGCAATTAACCGAGGGAAATTTTTTTGCAATAACACATATTTTTAACCAATTATGCGGGAAAACCAATTAATCGGGTTCGGTTTAGCGGGAAAATGTACACGCATTTTGTATGCAATGTATTTTGGACCGATCAGGTGATTCAAATAAGCGGGGCAAAATCAAATAACCGGGGGTCAGTTAAGCGAGGGATACTGTACCAGTTTAAATTTTCTGTGTGCATGACACCTCATAATTGTGGATTAAAAGTCGTATATCACAAACTACTCCATCACCGGCGCGGTGTTGCAACTACTTTAAGCCTCCAGAAAAATACGTACTCTGGAAGTCTAGAGGCAAGATTATTTTCAATAATCATGAAACTACGCAGTAACTCTTACGGTGCCAAGGGAGCAAGCAGAGTTTTCTCGTGTTGTTTCGATGGGGTCGGACTTCCTGTGATGTATAAGTTATTGTATTAATATTGTTTTATAGTCGATTTGTATTAAATTTTTTCCATTTAATTAAAATGATGGACACATTTTTTATCTGGGAATTCGATTGCCAGGTGAATTCAGATGCATTGCTTTTAATGTATATGTTTGTTTAAATTTTTTTTGTTTACATTGTTTTCTCTTTGTAGTGTCTGAGATAATGTGATAAATTTCCTTACTGCTAAACCAGATGGTCGCTAATCAGAAGTCGCACGGGTTTCGAGTAATTAGCTCAAATTCCTCGGTGACAGATTAACAAGTGATTTGAATGACGAAATCTTGCTAATCAATCAGAGTAGGGAGATAATTAAATCCATCTAAAGCTCGTGATTAAAAGTCTCGCCAGAACATGGTTTTACACGAGTACCAAAATGTNNTCTTGCAACATGTCACCTAACGACTGTTTGTAGCACCTAAAACCAATCGACATAAATATGGAGTTAGGTATATGCAGTATGGCATATCTAATAATTACATGTTTCCTCTAATCTTCTACCTAGTTTACCCTTTATGAGCAGATATTTGCGGTAGATAAGAAGATAAGTTTTGGAAAACATTAAAAAAATTCACGGAGGGGTTTTCCTAGTGAATAATTTCAAATCTATTTAAGAACTTACTAGGTTAGGTTAGAAGGTCGAAGGATCTCACTTGGACAGCTTAAACGCCGGTCCGTTGTGGTAGCCAAAACTCCTATGAGCTGGATCAAAAGACCCTAACATGTCGGCAAAGCGCTTTGTGCCTGTGACAAACTTGTTGAGACGGCCAATATCCGATTCGGCCAAATCTTCTGGTCCGCCGAAAGAGTGATTGCCGAGATGTTTCAGTCTCTGCCTAGCTAAAGCCGGACAGTGGAGGAGAAAGTGCGAGGATGTTTTCACCCCACCCTCCTTCATACACCTTTGAGAACTAGCATCGGGTAGTATTCTAAGCCGTACCGAATGAGTGCCCATTGGACAGTGTCCAGTGAGAACTTTTACCATAGCGGCGAGATGAACTTTGTTCGTTAATGGAGATCCAACTCGATCGACCAAATTTTCAGGAATGCGGCTGAAAAAGGAGAGAATTGTGGTGGACCCTTTGCATAAGCCCAGCTTCCCTGAGCCTTAGGGCATACTTTGCAGCAATGCACCTATCGACAATGTCCAGACGAGCTATGTTTAAAATAGCATTAAGAGCTGTCGTTGGTATGGTCGGCACTGCACCGGAGATTTTTATGAGCGCCACTCTTTGAACCCGCTCAAGCTTTTTAGCCAGACTAGCCCTTTCGAGCGCCCTTCACCAGACTAACACAGCATAGAACAATATTGGCTTGACTCCGGTTTCGTAGAGCCTGAACACCACTTTTGGTGTTTGTTTCTGACCTTTGGTGAGAGTCCCCATTTTTTCCCTATAGTACCCAAGCAGCAATATAAGACGACCCATTCCTACTTAACTCTCTCCTCGATGTTTGGCCTCCAAGAAAGCTTTCTATGAAGGATAAGCTCTAGGTAATCCAACTTATCACCGGGTTTTAAGACGTGAAACCTCGAGAGGAGATAGGCCCGTTGGGGATCTTATACCTCCTAGTAAATAAAACCGTGTCGGGTTTACTTGGGTTTACGGCTAGGCCGCTTCTATTCGCCTAGTTGGGTACCACGTTTAGGTACAATTCGGTAAGTTCATAGACGGTAGTTAAGAATTTTCCCCTAACCATAAGAACCACATCTGCATAGGCTATCGTGCGACAGCCTAGGTTCCCTATTAACCTTTCTAGTATTCTTGGCACTACCCCACTATGCTACGACAGCTCTGTCGTAAAGAAGGTGCGCACAGTGAATACCTTGTTCATAAGGGCTATCTCCAGCCATGACACTACATCATGCACAGCAGTGTCGACCGACCTGCCTTTGTTGAAAGGCATGCTGAGCCTGTAGCAGTTTACTCCTCGGTAATCTGCTCCCAATGTACAGATCCATAAGTCTCTCCAGCGTTTTCAACAGAAACGACGATAGACTGATGGGTCTGAAATCTGGCCTTCATAATAAACGCAACTTTAACCTGTCTCTAGGCCTTCGGGACATGGCCCCAATCTAACACAGTTCGTGTAGATGAGCGCCAGCCAGCTGAAGCTCCCCAGTGGCACTTCTTCAGCAGAGCGATTCACACTGCCGCAGAAGGTTCTCATGGCTTTCCTCAATTCGGACTTGTAAACTTGCCGCCAGGAGCTTATGGCTTTTTGTCCTTATTCCAAATATTTCATAGCTGCTGAGCCACGGTTCCTTAATAAGGACAATGCCGGCTTCTTCCCTTTCTACACGAAGCAATAGATCGGCTGAGCCCGCCTTTGAGAGCTGTAGATTAATTTGGAGGATCTTAATCTTCCAAACTTCTCTCCAGCATGCGAGTTCCGCACCATCATCCATACCATCGACCCCAGCCTCCTCGAACAGGCGCTCAAGACTGAAGACAATCCGCCCCCCGTGCTCACCGCGTCCGAGAGGATAGCCACTCTCTCGAAGCCATAGCCTATGGCCCCCTTTGTGACACTGAGAGGAGCGAGGGACTCTGTGTTAATCACCCTCCAGTCTTGGGTGGGTAGAGATGGATTGCAGTACCGCAACATCTCTTCAATTTCGGTCGAGGTAGAGGGTTCGGCCGGAAGCAAGACACGAGCCCGAGGCCGCTTCGGGAGATCCGATTTGGCCACCGTCTCGAGCTTTGGACCTTTCCACACCTAATTTTCATATTTCATATAATTAAGTACTGTTTTATTGT